CAAACAAACACTCGAATCTAATAGTTAAGATGTTACAAAAAAAACCATGTTTTTAATTGTGTATCTGTTTATCGTTGAATATTATTTATGATTTTAACTTTATACACAAGTGCCAAAATACTATAATTCCTCATAAGTCATCTGATATCCTAGAGATTTTATTATATAATAAATGAAGAAATAGCCTACTCAGAAATTGTTGATGTATGTTGTGATTAAAGATAACAATTAATCACATGGCAGCTTCCATTGTTACATACGTAAAATATGTAATTTTTAACTTACTCATGCAAGATACAGACTGAGTTGATATAGATTTTCAACATTCTCAAACTTAGAATAGCTGTTACTAATAGGAGGTGATATACGTATATTGGGTTTGCCAATATCATGTTGCAGCATTAATTTCTTGGTTAGTATAGCATGGTATTGCTCAGCAAAAACTATGATGTGTAATCATGAGGTATTAAAACTAAACACCGTAATCAACTTTAAATATACCAGTAATTCATCTCATAATTAATAGGCAATTCCATTTCATGTGTGTAATTATAATCATATGAAATTAATACATCATACATAGCATAATTGGTACAGGTAATTTAATACAGAGGCACATTTCCATTTTATTTTATTTTCATTACTTAATAATCTACAACTATTAAAATTTATAATTGTTTAGTCCAGAAGAAAGTCCAACAGTTTTAAATACAATTGTTATGGTGTGAATGCTTCTTCTAAGGCATGATTATAATTATTTGTACTTGTGATAATACATTAGTATTAGGCCTATTATTTTTGTTAACATTACATTCTTTATTCAGTCCGTTAGGGTTTTTCAAAAATACGAAGAGTGTATAATATTTCAACTACACTATGGCTATGGTGGAAATTTGTCTCACTTTCTTTTAATGCCTCTGACTTTGCTCTTAATATTTCATAATGCCACACCGAAGACAGTCCTTCATTGGTTCATTAATAGATATATTTACTGAGTCATTTAATTCATATTTTTTGTTTATAATCATGGTCTAATTTTTCTCTATTTCTTTTAGCCGGAATATAAGTTAGCAGATCCTATTTGTACCTTCATCTTCTCTGTCTTGGTGCTTTTTACGACTCTAACCATCATGAGGGATGCTGTCCATGTCCTTATGGAAGGTTATTATCCTTATGTGTTGTTTAAGTATGTAGAAATTATAAAGTATAATTACAAAGTATAAATTTGGGATTTAATATGTTTCTCAAATGTTACTAGTAAAAGTGGAGAAAGACTTGCTAATTTTCCCCTTGACATTTCTTATACTGGGACAAAAAAAAAGCTGCCATTAGTTTTTTATTATATATTATATATTAAAAAACCAGTTACAAACTATTTACTTTGTATTAAAAGATATAGGTATGTAGCAATAGATTTTCTTTCACTCCAAGAAATGTAGGAATTCAAAATTGGCTAATATGTAATTTGTTTTGTAAGGGAAGTTGAAACACTGTAAGCTAAGTCATGAAATATGTTGTTTGTGAATGAATTTTTACGAACAAATAAAGCTTTGAAAAGTATACAGTTTTTTCTGATTTTAGGATTTCCACGAGAGTTGAATTATGCAGTGATTAAAACCGACCTACAAAATATACAAGGAGTGAAAATGGCCCATAGTCTTCACATATGGTCCTTGACAATCGATAAAAATGCATTGGCTGTACACTTAGCTATAGGTAAGTATTTCTACATAGTATTGTTACAGAGAAATTTTATTATTAATACTGAAATATCATTATGTTTATTTATTGTACGTAACATTTTAGAATGTTATTAGTGTTTGATGACGAAAATATCAACTTATGGGTATATCAATATTTAAAAAATTAAAAATTAGTCTAGATTTATTTGATGGAACAAATAATGAAGGAACTTAAAAAATCATTCATAATGGTGTTTTTAGGAATCTTTGGACAGGAAATTACCTAAAGTGCTTTTTTACTATGTTTCAATCTCTATGATTAGGCTTTCTGAAGATTCCCAAGATGTCCAAATCACTACCTAAACTTAAATTGAAACAATACATAATAGTCATCCTTATTCTTTAATTGCTTGCCGCTATTTGACTTGTTGGCACTATACAAACGCTGATTTGTAAGCTTAGGGCTGACCTATTGTTGAATAGTCTTACATTGATTAGCCATCTTCAGAAAATAAATTCTACCCACCTGTGGCAAAATATTTGGAAAGAAGAAATTGAATTGTTAATATAATTTGACAAAAAAATATTTTAATAATACATTAATTATTTATTTATTGTAAGTTGATTTTGTTTTCTATGTCTCCTGTTATTCGTTATAAAACATTTAACCCTAATAGAACCGAAAATCAGTTTTTAAATATCAAGTGTACACCTGCATAACTGATTTTAAAGTTTAAGTTAAAGTAATAATCTAATTCCATTTCAACAGTTTTTAAATCAAGAATATTTTATAAGTTGTTGTTTTTTTTTCATTTTGTACCATTTATTTAGTGTAATTCACAAAGAAAATGGAGAAAAATATCTAACTTCAATTTCTGCATAGCTCCAAGAAGTTTCCTGTAATCAACACATCCCAAAACTAAGAAACTGTCATCCCTTGGGAATATAATTATCATTGTCTCGTTTCCCTCTCCTTAGAGGCTTTAATGTTACAGTTGTTTGTTTCCACCACTTTTATAATGTCACAGCATCGGGGCAATATTTGGGGGGGGGGGGCAACTGGGCCATGGCCTAAGGCCCTGCAGGTCTAATGAAAATAAATTTTTATAAGAAAAAAATAAATAAGAAATGCCAATTTTGAAATCTGTCACACCACATGTTTACATATGATTTGTGTGATAAAGTATGATTTTTTAGTGATAGTTAAAATATGTGAAACATGATACGTATGTAAAAAATGAATAAAATTACATTTTGTTTTGAGAAAAAAATTGACAGATTTTAAAATTATTTTACTTTTTGCTGCTGGGCTGTGAAGAATAATTGGAAGATGCAACCCCAAAAATCACCCAACACAATACATTGTATAGGGCCCGGGATCCCAACCACCCCACAACCCCATCTGGCTCAGGACCCCACATACCCTAAATGCGCCCCTGCACAGCATAGCTAAAGAAATGACAAAGTTTAAATATCATTGGATAGAGCAGATTATAAACTATTTATGTCAATGTTCAATGAATAAAGAGAGTGATAGACAAAGTTCCGGCAGGGTTGAATGTGAGAAACTAATAGGAAGTTTAAAATACTTAGGAACAAATCACAGATATGGAAGTTTGATAATAGTTTCTTAAGACATTCTTTTAAATCCTAAAAATGTTTTTGTTAAGTTTATAAAACTTTAAAATAGATTTTATTCTGTGACAAGACTGTGTAAGCTCAGTTAGGTTTAGTAAGTATGATATTCAATGGCAAAATATTCTGATGATTGAAATCCTTACTTAATAAATATTATTGTTAAGTTCTATCTTTTTTTTAAACAATGCATATAAATAAAAGCACTTATTATTTATTGGAAAGAAACTATATTTACATAGATATAAAGAGATATTTTCCAAATATATTATTAGCAAAATATTGCTATGGTTGAAGTTCCACCCTAGTAGTGTTTTCAATGTTTGGGATAATTATATCACTAAATTTTTTTATGTATTTAGCTGAAGGACACATTAGATCTTTAGGTACATACAGCATAATTTCTGTGATGCCCGTTTTTCTTTTTTCTTTTTTTATGGATATGCCCTTACTGTTTATTTATATTTATACCATGTTTTAAGTCAGGTTTTTTGTTTTTACCATCTGAGTATTAATGCATTTTAAGTATATTAATCTGTCACAGACCTGGAAAATACAAGAAGCACCATTGTGATCTTCAGCAACTAAATGAATTGCTGTGTTTATATAACACTAAATATCAAGAATTAAGTGATACTTCTACAACTGGTTATATGATTTAATAAAATACCAGCACAGTGGAAGTTATGATGACCTCAGAAAGGACTCATAGTAAGGTTTTAAACTTGACCACTATGCATGAAAAACCAAAGCAGGAGCAGTGCATAAATTGTTAGTCACACTAGTACAGTATGTTGGCTGTCTGTAATTTTAATCAAAGCAATGATTTAAAATTTTCTAAATGGGAAAGCTCTTTTCATGAAGGTAATTAATTCTCTATATTGGTACATATAGCATAAAGCATTTTTTTTTGTAAATTCAATTTTAATGCTCTTTTTGTTTTCGTTTGTAATCAGTATATTACATGACAGCTATAAGTGATAGACTTGGATCTCCATTACTTCCTGTCCCTTGTTCCTTGTAACGTGTCTTTGTCTATTTCAAGATATTATCCAGATACATGCTACCCTTTCTTTCTTTTACCAATAATTCACAAATTCTACAAACCCTCCTGTCTCATCACATGTTCCAGAAACTTTGCCCTCGTTTGTCATTTTCAGAATGTTTCTTAGAATTCACATTTCTGTATAGCCAGCTTTCATTCGGTCCCTTTTCAAATTTTCCATGTTTCACAGCTGTTCAGCAATGTTGAAAAAATGTAACATTTTTACCATCTTCATCTGCGTTTTGATTATTATCTTCCTTTTGCTAAGCAACTGTCTCATATTCATGAATACAGTCTTTGTCACGGCTATCCTTGTCTTTACTTCTTTGTCAAATCATTTGTCACTGGTTACTTACTGCACGTCCATTATAACAGAATCACGTCATTTTATTAACAGCTTGTAAATACACATTTTGGGAACATCATGGACTTGCTCACAACCATAGATTTTGTTTTGTTGATGCTTATGGAAATACCACATTTTTCACTTTCTTATATGATGATATCAATCTGATCCTGCTTTCAAGACAATATCATGTGTATATTTATGTTGTTTATATTCCTTCCATTAACATTTACACTCGCTTTCTCCTGAATCACTCATTATTATTATTGTATTTCCATACAAGCTGAACATTTCTTTCAGATTCTTTCTCTAATTACTAACTATCACTTAATTTATCTTCACTGCTGCTTTTTGGTCCCATGTGAATTCCATAAAATTTTGTGTTCTATTTTTTCTCCCATTGATATCCACCTGCTGCAGACTTTTTGTGAGCTCCTTGTGTTTTCTTTTGTCAACTGCTTTCATATAACAGATAAAGTATATATATTCTTCCTACAGTTTGCCCCTGAGGAAGAAAGGTTATAGGGTTTTTATTCATTTCTTCCTACACAAATATTAATCTTTCACACCGAGATCTTGCAGTAATATCACATCTTTGGTACCACGTCCTATAAACCTGAACTGCTGCTCGACACTTTCATTATCCACTTCCCACTTAATTTGTTCAACAATATTTTTCAGCATAATTCTTGTTATATGACTCATAAATATTATAGTCTAGTGATCGCTACACTAAGTTTCTCTGCTTCTTTTTTTGTAGTTATGAAGACTGAATTTTTTATTGTATTTTTTTATTATACATTTCATTTTATAGTACTGTTATCTATCTTTTGACTCTCCCAGTGCCTTGATCTGTTCAGTACTGTTTTGTTATTTTTAATTTGTTATGCTGTTTTTCTCACTTCATTTTTGAGAATCTGCAAACTTTCAGTTTCCTTTCATGGTGTTGATTTATTTTTTCTTCTCATATCCTCAAGTAATTCAGCAATGCAATCACACCACAACCTCATGAATGCATTCGGCTGTATCAGCAAAACACTTTGCAATCTTATTCGTGTGCATCTATTAGTTTCTTTGTCATGATACATTTAGAAGTAACTGCTGTTTCATATAACTTTCCAACGTACTGAGGGAAAAGGATTTTCATTCATGAAAGTCTTTTTGTTAATATTAAACAATTTTATTTTTTCTTGTCATAATGACATCTTTTTTTTTATAATGAGTAACTTTAACCATGAATAATGTGAAAATCTATAAGGTGATTCTTTTAATTAGAGTTTTTTACTCTTTTTCAGTGTCATATGTCCCACTCTAGAGCACTGCTATGGGAGTTAGCAATTTCGTATGACCATCCAAAAAAGGGTATTTCCCTTCAAACTTCCCAAAATTTAACAGCTGTTGTTTCAGTTATTAATGAATTATTAAAATATATTTTGTATTTTTGTATCTGAAAATACACCTGGCAATAGGAGGGTTTATCTATAAACGTGTCAGTAAAAGATTTAAGAAACGTTTTGTTCCGGAGTTTTCAAAATGCTTTAAAATTCCTTGGAAAATCCACTAAAATTAGAAAAATGAGTACTGCAAAAATTGTGTGAGGTGAAATATGAACTGCAAAGTATAACATTTAATTTATTAGAACTGACAATTGCATGTGTATTGATAAATAATGCATACAAACAAGCATAAAACAACGTATACAACACATCCAAAAAGAAAAGGAAATACAAAAAAAGTTTCACATTTTGTTCATTGAAATCCTGATTTGGTCATTTGTTCCAATTGGTGCTTTTTGTTTAACTTTTCCATAGCCGATTTACTTTTGGCATCTGGAAAGCAGTGTAAGTCTGTGTGTCATCTGTTGTAACTTTAAACTGTAGTAGAGAACTTACCATTTTTTTATCATTATTCCTTCCACAGACCCTGAACTTGACCCCCATGTGGTTCTTCGGACTGCAGAGTATCTCGTCAGACAAAAGTATGGTATCTATCACACTACTGTTCAGGTGGAGAAGTATGACCCGACAACGATGTTGTCCTGTAATGCATGTCAGGGACCAAGACAGTGAATCTAGTGTAACGTAAACCACATTAAAAATGTTATATGTTGGAATGCTCTAAGTAATTTTGCTAACACAACCTGAAACTTCCTTATCACTAGAAATTTCTTAATTTAAACCAAAATACTTGCAATCTGTTAGTTTTTTTTTTTTGATACAAGAAAGAGACCTTTTATCAGTTGAGTGGTTTATTATTGTACATTTGACATTTTATACTGCTTACCTGAATAATTTACTATCACTTACTCATTAGGTGGTAACTGAAGATGGTAAACTTGTCATGTTCTGTGTTATACAAAACAAAAAAGCCATAATGTTAAAACTATACCTATTTTATGACCATCTCAGTAGCATAGTATTTTAAGACTTAAACACAGACAAACACTACTATTTCCCAGTAGTATGAGATACACATACACACCAAGATATCTCTTTTTATTTTCTTCTTCTTTTTATATTTGTGTTTCAGACTAGCATCTTTCACAAACATCTGAAAAATGGCATGTTAGTTTGGTCAATTTACATGTGTGAAATTACATAGTCTTGTACCATTAGCAAGATTTAGCTACAAGCTATATTAAACACATTTAAAAACTATAACATTCCATAAATACTTATATTTTAGGTTAAGTTTTTTTTAAACTTTTACCCTTAGTAGTAAAATTTAACCTTAGCAAATAGCATGAGAGCAAAAGTTTTACCAAGTTGAAACTTAAGTATGAAAGACAGTTGTATAAGTGTTCTCCTTGTATGATTTTTAAATTCACGTACATTTTAATATTAACTTACTCTGTATGGGCTTTTCAACCACAATGTAAGCATTATATATAATATAACTTTTAACTTACTATAACTTTTAATGCAGTAAAAGCATCTTCATGTCATTTGGCAAGCTTTTATTAGTAAACGTTACAACTCTTTTGTACACAAAAAAATTTGATTTTTTTATTTAGTATTTTAACGAAATATTGGTCTTTGGAGGCAGAGTGTAAGTCGGACTCTGACTAGTGTGAGTGCAAGGTGATTTTCATGTTAAGATTAAAAATACTTTTTCATTTTTTAGTTTTCAAATTTCACTTTCATAACCCCTAGGATCTCTTTTTTAGAATATCGAAAGTTTTTTGTTTGTTTTTTTGCAGTAAAACTAAATTTTATACATTATTTTCTATACCCTAACACTATATGAACTTGGTCAATCTGACTGACCCTTTAAACACCACAGAAATAAATCAAATTTACCTTTTTTTTTTCTTTCTAGAGCGACAGCAGTTTTTAATATAAAATTAGGTATTTATTCTAAACAGTTTAAAGCTACTAACAATTTACATCTGTTTCTATTTGAATTATATATATATATATATAAGTAATAATTTTACAATCCAAGCTTTAAATCGTGCAGTGAATGCCTAACTTAAGTTATGATATTTAGTTACATAACGCATGATCTACTCATGAGCATTTCTTGTAGAGAAATATATTATTATTATTATTCCCTTTTCTTTATGCTAACAAGTTTTTATTTTTTTACATTTTATTTACTTTCATAACAATGAATAAAAAAAATTTGATTTATTACTTAGATGGGCCTCTTGTTTTGTTGCTGTTAGCCCTGCAACAAAACTTAACCATAGTTTCTAGTAATATTACTAATAACTCAATTTTTATTTGAAATATGCACTTGAGAACACACAATAAGAACATGAATAAAACAACTAATGTATAATTTAACTGGCTTTCTAAGTCATAAATGTCTTAAAATAATTCCCTTAGCTATTTAATTTGAACTCTGCAATAGCAACTTTGAGTTTATAGGCAAAATAATAAAAATGTCTATTGAGAATAAGATAGTATTATACATTATTTGTTAAATTAAAGCTTTGTCTTTCTATCAGCTATAAATAACACACTAGCAAATGTCAGAGAGAATTATTATCAATTTGTGAAAGAGATGATGTGATATGACAAGTGGATTTAAATTTCTGGCTTATAAATCTGTAAACAAAGAAGATTGAAGGTTATAAAAATTAGATCTTGCCTTAGTAATATCTATACTATAATGAATAACTTGTGACAAACTTGGGATATCTTAGAAGTGGGGTGATGGGAGAAACATAGAAAATCAGAACAAATAAGTATTGTTACTCGGACATCCATAGATTAGTTATTTAAATATTTCCTTTTGAAGTTAAGAAATTAAAACTTGGATAATATTGAAATTGGTATTATTAACTACAAGATGAAATACCTGTTAACTGACGAGGAATGTTTAAACTTAATTAAAACAACTTAAGTTTAACAGCAATCATATATTTCTAAGTAATAACTCAAAATTTTTAAATTATAACAAAGCATCTTCATAAACAACATTTGCAGTTTGTTTTCTAACTACCAACAAAATACAGTTTTCCATCTTCGAACACCCTACACCATGAGAAAAGCACGGTTGTTTGTGAAATTATTCAACAACTGTCATACTTTGATCTTGAATCCCTTTAGAATATTCAACATTGTCTATAGTGTCAACCTATCAAGATTGTTTGAGATTGACTCAATAGGCTGGGAGTAATTAACCAACAGGCTTTACAAAATAGAAATAGGTTAAGTTCAGTTTTGACCCCCCCCCCCCAGAACATTCCGCGTAGTTCATAGTGTTTACATACAAATTTTGGTTGAGATTGGCCCAATAGGCTTGGAGTAGTTAGGGTGCAAACGAACGCACATTTCGTCTTTATGTATATAGATGTTCTGATGCAAGTTTATTTGTATAAATCAGTATCAAGAGGATTAAATGTAAAAATTAAATTTGTGCAGCAAAATTATGAAGAAAAAACTACAAGCAGCAAACATTATACATTTTTATTGCAAGTATGTTCATTCTCGTAACTTCTTCAGTGGGAATGTTGTGAAAGGGTTTTAAGTTCAAAAAGGGATAAATTGTGCTAGATTTATAAAGTAAAGTAACATTTTTTTAATCCTCAGCACAGTATGTAAATTATTACTGTTACAAAAACCAGTTTGAGTTTTTAATTCATCAATCTCAAACTTCTGCTTTTTCTTGTGTACAAATTTGTGAACTACATACATATATATATTTACTGACAATTCCTTAAATATTAGCATTTGTATAGATTTAAAACATTTCATTGTACAAGTATGAAATCATATAAACTTTTTATTTCATATACATCCGTGGTTTAAAAATTTCTCTGTGGAATGTTTTAAAAGTTAAACTTGTAATTT